TATTTATTTATTTATTTTCCCCCAAAGCCCCAGTAGATAGTTGTATGTCATAGCTGCACATCCTTCTAGTTGCTGTACGTGGGACGCGGCCTCAGCACGGCCGGAGAAGTGATGCGTAGGTGCGCACCTGGGATCCGAACCCGGGCCGCCAGCAGTGGAGCGCACGCACTTAACCGCTAAGCCGAGGGCAGGCCCTCCCTATGAGTTTTAAATGTACCGTGTGACACACTATATATGGCGTGGCTTTAGACTTTTCCTCATCATTTCCTAGAAGAAATCATTTTACAATGCCAAAATGTGATTGCTAGGACCTCATCCCTCAAGTAAACCACCTCGTTACTTTCACCTGCTACTAAGACAGACAGACAGACACACACACACACACACACACACACACCACCCCACCCCACCCCACCCCACCCCCCGCGGAATGTGAAAGTACTTGGTCCAAGGGCTGGAGGATTGGGCACAGGAGCCAGTCTTATGTTCTGTTGAAGGAGATACTGTAGCTTGGACCCATTATGTTGGGAAATAGAAAAGTCTCCTTGGCTCAAGGTAATTTGACCCCTCCCTTTCCAGGGTTTGTTGTTTTTGCTGCTTGTAGTCATTGTTGCTATTTATGTGTTTAGTGACTTTCCTAACTAATTCTATAAAGCCTGTATTTTTTGTGTGTATGGCCACCAAAATCTCTGCTTGGTTAGCTTTGTGGTCTGCTGAAGATTAGCGATTTCCTTAAATGTGTTGAACCAGTAAGTCTCCCCCAATCTTTGCTGACAGGCTCTGGGTGTGTGTTGGAGCATGCCTTCACATTCTGGCAGGCAGTTTACAATTTTGCCTTAACCTTCACTTCCTCCTTGCACAGAGCCTCAAAGTCAGCCAGAAGTGAGATTAGGGCCATCACTTGTCTTTCTTAGACATGTACACAGCTCTGCACATGCATGCGGCCTTCTAGATTCTCAGCTTTTCCTCTTAAGCTTTGTGGTCAGTTTCTTGTTTGCTTCAGCTGTTATTACTGCCTCAAGCAGCTGTGATGTTCAACAGTTGCCATTGATTGTTCTTGACAAACACCCTGGGGAGAAAAGTGATTTGCACTGAGTCAGGTCGAATAAAGACAAGCTTGCAAGTGGAGGCTTCCAGGGAGCTGCCAGGCAAGTCAAACAGGGACAGTGCTCTGGGTATGGAACTTCTGAGGAACTCTTAATGCAGTTTACCTCCTCCGGTGGCTACTAGGCTGCTGGTTTTCACAGCTACTGTGATTATGAGGCTGTTGATTTGGGGACTACCTTAGATCTGGGGAGAGAGGGTAGGGAATAGGGCAAGTTAAAATGCCACAAAGCTTCCTTTCTTACCAAGATTCAGCCATTTTTCTCGAACAACCCAAGAAGCATTTCCAGAGTTCTGAAAAAATGGATGTTGACGGTTATTGTCAGTGTTCTTGATGCTTTTATGGAGGAGCAGATTTTTAGAGATCATTACTCTGCTATTCTGAAAGTGCTTCCATCTCTTTAAATTTTAACCTACCTGTAGTTGGAATATGTTTCCTGTGGACATCAGATATTTGGGTCATGTTTTTTAATCCATTCTGACACTCTCTATCTCTTTATTCTTACATTTGGATTGTAGGGCTACCATTTTATTTGTGTGTGGGCGGGTTTTTTTGCAGTTCCCTCTGTTTTTTGTTTCTGTTTCCCCCTTCCTGTCATCTTTTGGATTATTTGAACATTTTTATTATTTCATTTTAATTTTTCTATTGTGGTTTTAACTATATCCTTTTTTATAGCTTTCTGGCTGTTCCTCTAGAGATTACTATATATATACTGCTTTCACAGTCTCCTTAGAATTAGCATTTCAGCACTTTAAGTGGAATGTAGAAACTTTTCACCACGTAGGTTCTTTTACCCTTTATGTTGTAGTTCTCTTATGTACTACATCTACAGACATTGAAAACCCGATCAGGTAATGTTACCATTTTCGTTTTCAATCATCAAATATATTTTGAAGATCTCAAGGGGAGAATAGTCCAGAAAAGTAACCAGGTAGTTACCATTTCTGTTGCTCTTCTGTTGTTCCTGATGTTCCAGGCTTCCCTCTGGTATCATTTCCCTTCTGTCTGAAGAACTTCCTTTAGCGATTCTTGTAGAACAGGTCTGCTGGCTATGAATTTTCTTAGCTTTTCTTCGTATGAGGCTATCTTTTTTTTTTTTTTTTTTAATTTTATTTATTTATTTTTCCCCCAAAGCCCCAGTAGACAGTTGTATGTCATAGTTGCACATTCTTCTAGTTGCTGTATGTGGGACGGGGCCTCAGCATGGCCGGAGAAGCAGTGCGTCAGTGCGCGCCCGGGATCCGCACCCCGGGCCGCCAGCATCGGAGCGCATGCACTTAACCGCTAAGCCACAGGGCCGGCCCGTATGAGGCTATCTTTATTTCGTCTTCGTTCCTGGAGGACGTTCTCAGCAGATACAGAATCCTGGGTTGGCGGTTTTTTCTTTCAGCTCTTTAGAAGTGCGCTTCCTCTTCCTCTGGCTTCCGTGGTTTCTGATGAGAAATCTGGGGTTGTGCAAACTGTACTCCTATCATTATTTTTCTCTGGCTGCTTTCAAGAATTCTGTCTTTAGATGTCAGCAGTTTGATTATGATGGGTCTGCACATGGATTTCCTTGTCTTGGGTTTATCCTGTTTGCAGTTCACTGAGTACTGGAATGTGTAGGCATATGTCTTTTGTCAAATTTGGGAATTTTTTTTTTCCAATCTTTTTTTTGTCTTTGTTGTTCGTATTGGATAATTCGTATTGATCTAACTTCAAGCTGTCTCTTGCCTGTGTCGTCTCCATTCTGCTATTGATCCTATCCAGTGAATTTTTTATCTTAATTATTGTTTTTCAGAAAACTTCTAAAATTTCCATTTCATTCTTTTTTATACTTTCTATTTCTTTGCCACAGTTTTCTATCTTTCCGTTCGTTTCAAGAGTGTTTGCTCTTACTTCCTAGAAAACTTTT